TTTCTCTACCCAGTTGAGGAACCAGCCTTGAGCAGGTGAGGCTGCAGGATAGACTGAGGAGGGTGATGTGACTCTGCTCAGGCCTAACCCTTCACTGGGCCTGATCAGGAGAGAAGCTGTGACAGTTTGGGGCGTTCTGCGCAGCCCTCCCTGGATCCTGCCACTCCTCCCTCATCTGGGCGGTGACAGTGCCTGGGGAGGGGGGAACAGTGCTCTGATGGGAGGAAGATGGTCTGGCTAGGTAGCAAGGTTTGGTTATTTTAATTTTCCTCCCTTTTCCCCAGCAAGGCCTGTGATTATTACATTAATCTTACAGGCGAAGTTTTTATGGCCCATCCCTCGCAGACTATGAGAAGTTTCTCCATCCATTCCCAGGCGGGTAGCGGGCCCTGGTGGGGAGGAAGTATTTGTTACATCTTATCAGGCTGACACACAATCTAACAACAATTACAGCAGCCCCATTTTTCCCACTAGTTCAGCTCCAGCTTGAAAAATTGTTGTAATATTAAAGTCAGGCAGGATGGGGGCTGGTCACTGGAGGTGACCACTGTTCCCAGCGCTGGGCCAGGCTCCGGGGAAGCCTCTCCTTGAGCTATACTTGGTGGCTGAGTGGAAGCCTCTGTCTCACATTCTAGGCACAGTGCAGGCTCTCAAGCGGCTTTCCAGCAAATCCTTTGCCTCTGCTTCGCAGACACCTCACCTCCAGATTGCCCTCAACCCTGGCTTGATTCAGAAAATACTTGGGTTTTAAGAAGGAACAGAGCTTGCATTCTCACAGCAAAAAGTGGTTGGTCAACAAGCCGTAGCTAAGAAGATGGAGCTGCAGGCAGAGGGCGGGGTGGGACGCACACCCTGTGGACCTCTCTCCCTGACCCTGGGCCAGCCCTGATTGGGCAGCTGGCCAATTCTAAAAAGGCCGGGCCTTTGAGTGAGTGATTAGCTGCGCAGCTAAGTCGGGGTGTGAGGCTCGCTGAGGCCGCAGACATTATGTGACCAGGGTTCAGAGAAAAATGACCAGTTCCTGGCTCTTGTTGCTAGAGAAGGTCAGAGTTTATGAAACAGGCCCAAGGTCCAGCCCTCCGTATTTGGATGCAGTCTGGCTGTGCTCCAGCTTCCAGAAACGGCCCCCACCAGCCCCTAGAAAGGAATAAATAGTAGGTATAGCTTAGTTTCAACCAGACAAGCCAGCTCTCACTTGGGACCCTGAAAGGTACACACTGTCCTCCCATCCCAGGATGCAAGGGACCTGGGGATGCGGGTGACCTGCGGCAGGGCCCGGCAGTGGGAGGCCCGGGCTGGCAGGGCTGGCAGGCCCGCTGGCCCTGTCGCCCTCCCCGTCAGTCGGCGCCGCGCGGTGATTAATGGCCGGGCGGATCGCGCGTGCGGCCGTCAGCGGGATGGATGTGGCTGTCAGGCCGAGCGTCCGCGCTGACCCCCAGCCCCGGCCCGCGCGATCAATGGGCGGCGTGCGGCGAGCGAAGGCTGGACCGGCGCGATAAGATGGGCCGATGCGCGCCCGCCGATTGCCCGCTCCGTCACCCGCCGTCACCGGCGCCGTCACGCCGCCCGCGTGCGGGTCGGCGCCGTCAGCAAGCGTGATTAATGGGGACCTGGGCGGGAGGTGCCGCCCAGACCCTTGCAAATGCTCAGGGAACCCAGAGTGGCGTGGCCCGCAGCGCCTCCATGTGGCCACATGCGCAGCTGTGGGTTGGAGGATGCTGTGGAAGAAACAGTTCCGGGAGGAGCATGGAGCTTGGCTTTATTTTTCAGTGTCTAAAATGAGACTCTCCCCACCCCCATCCCCCATCCCAAACCTTTCCCTCCCACCCCACCCCACCCCGCCCCATGTAGGCTTGGCTGACCTGGAACTCTCCAAATAGACCAGGATGGCCCTGAACTCACAGAGATCCCTCTGCTTCTGCCTCTCTAGTGCTGGGATCTAAGTGTGTGCCACCACCCCTGGTTAAGATACGTTTTTTACAATAGATAATTCTGAACATGATGCAGAATTTGGAGTGAATCAAAGGGGCATGCAACGTTGGCGTGTTTCATCTAGTGTTCCCTCTGTGCAAGCCACGTCCGACACTGACCGCTTATTTCCTAGTGAGCTAGAGATGGCAGGCGTTAGGGAAGGAAGGTGCTGTCTATTTCAGGTCCAGCACCTCTGCCTTTTGTTCCCTCATCCCAAGTGATGTAGGAATGCCTAGCCTTGCCTAGAGTTCCAGATTTGCTTATATTCTCTTTTAACTCATATCCACGAAGGAAAATCCCTAAGTCATAAGACCAATAGGTTCAGCCGTCTTTGATAGACTTTAGTTTGTTGCTGGGACCCTAGGAGGAAGTGGGTTTATTCTCCTCCAAGGTAGATTTCCTTTGCCTATTGGTCTTACAGAACAAAGGGTGGGGGTTAGAGGAAGGAGTATGGGTAAAGCAGCTGCACTGGAAATGCGCACCCAGCTGGGATGATGGCTCTGCTGTGGCTGTATGGATGGCGTCCCCTTCCCTAATACTTTCTCACCTATCTCCTCAAGCCCCCCTCGGACACCCCGAGGCCACTTTGGTAGAATTAGGGCAAGATTACATACAACTTGGGAGGGGTGGCTGAGTGCTCAGGGGAGGGTCCCATGAGCTTCTCTGGCCTCCACCTTGGAAGAGGGAAGGTTGACAGTCAGCAAGCCCATCTGAAGATCAGCAGGCCCAGCCAGCTCCTAAAGGTGGAGGTGGTTTGTCTTGGAGACAGTCTTGTACAACAGCACGAGTGCTGGAAGGGTTCCTGTCCTTTGTGAGTTGGCTCTTTTCACCCAGAGCAGTGAATGGCTGGGCCATCCCACCACACTTACGAGATTGCTCATGGCTGTTGGGACTCTCATGGACATTCAGTTCTGAAGGGATGCTAGGCCTGTCCAGAAGCCTCCTGTCATACCCTTCCCCGCTCTGTGTGTGTGAGAGCATGAATGCCCGTGGGCTGTGTGTGTTACAAGGCCTCACTGTATCCTGTAGCCCGGGCCGAGCTGGACTGAAGACCAGCCTGCCTTGACTTCCGGAGCAAAGGGACTAACAGCATCACCACACTGGCTCCTCCTTGCCTACTCTAAACATGAACACTAATGGACGCTATTCTTGCTTTTGGTATTTTTCTCCACAGTGTTGTGTCTCAGGGATTTTTCCAATCTAGTGTACACAGATTGACCTCCTGGGTCCTTTTGGAAGACAAAGCTGTTGTCACCTCCCCACACCCACACAACTCCACTGTGGAGATAGTAGCCCAGGCTGGTCTCAAACTCACCATCTTCCCCTCCGCCTTAGGATTACAGGTGTGCCATGAGGCCTGCCTTGGTAGACACTGTAAAACTCTTGTTGGGGGTGTAATCTCCCAGGGTGGAGTCCACTTTCATTCCCTTTCCCCCACAAGGTTATTTGCTGGCACAATGCAATCAATACCAGATGAACTGGTCACAGGTTCAGCCAGTATAATGCGGCACTGCGAGCAATGGCACTCCTGCAGCAGTCCAGACCAGGGCCTGGCGCATGCTGGAGTGTAGACTGGGTTTTTGCTATCACTGGGAAGCAGGCTTTTCCCAGGACCCGAGTCACCCAGGGAACTTTCCTTGGTCTTCCCTAGACTCTTCTAAGGCTGTCCTCCAATCCAGCCAGGGCAGGGCAGGGCAGGCTGGGCTGTAAGGAGAGCGGCGTATAGGAATAGGGTTGCAGGGAGCATGGGTGGCATGGTTTATTAGTTACCTGTCTCACTGCACTCTAAGGGCTTCCTCTGGCTCAGTCCACTGTGGCAGGGCAGTCAAGGCAGCAGTTCGAAGGAGTTGGTTGCACAGCGTCCACAGTAGATGACTGCCCCTGCTCTGCTGGCTTGTCCTTCTGGCAGCTCAGGATCCAGCCAATGAGATGGTGTGCACATTTAGGGTGGGCCTTCCTAACTCAACTAACGAAGACAGGCTCTCACAGGTGAGCAGGGGTTTTTTTTTACATTCCCACAGGTTCCTTTTCTAGGTTGACTCTATGACATGTCAAATTCATAGACCTAGACAATCTCCATCTTCCTAGTCCCACCAGGGCCCAGCAGAGGTACCTGGAGGACACCAGAAGGTAAGCAGTAGGAAGGGAGCCTCGGCCCAGAGGCCAAGCCTAGTATGTGGAGACAAGCTGCTAGAAGGTAGTTGAGACATAGCTCAAGTACCCAGGGAGCAAGGGGCTCAGACCCTCCGGAGAGTGGAAGGGTTTCCAGGGGCCAAGAGTACCCTGCTGCCAGCCCCCATGCTCCCAGCTGTGCTCCCCTCCTAGGTTCAGCAGCTCTGTGGTTGGCAATGCAGGGCTGATGTGCCTGCCCAGCTGTGTCTGAGCCGTCTTAAGCAGCGCAGCTGAGGCTCCAGAACGGTACAGAACAGCATGTGCAGGGGGCCTGCTGTGCACACTCTTAGTCCTGTCCAAGGACTGCCCTGTCACCTGCCCCTCAAGGGTGACTAAGGAAGCACCAGCCAGGCTTAATAAGGACAAATAGCCTGTCCCTTGCATAGGTATGCAAGCAGGAAGCTGCTGGCAGGCTGTTCCAAGGTGTACCAACCAGGTCACCTGTCCCCATCAGGCCCTGGCCTGCACACATCTGCCGTGGCTGTGGGTCTGGTCCCAGAGCAGCCTCAGACACCAAGCCTCCCTAGTGACCAACTGTGCTCTGGGCCTGAACAATTAGAGCCATAGGCTCCTACCAACTGTGCCACCCGCCTGGCTCGGCAGCCCACTCCAGTGCCCCTCAGGAGCCAGGAGTGCACTGCTGTCCTAGGAGAGTCTCACTCCTGCTGGTGCACAGGGTCCCACTGCCCCAGCCCCATGCCTTCCTTTCCCAGGAGTGGGAGCAGAGGAGAGGGGGGTGGCAGGCAGTGTGTGGTGGAAGAGCTCCCAGGAGGTCGCAGGTCCGCCGATAACCCTGGTCACCTCCAACGCTGCTGAACGAGTGCTCTGCTCTTAGTTTACAAAGATGACGAGGCAGCTTGTAAAAAGTCGGTTTATTTGTCATGTTTTCACTGTATCTCAGTTAAGCCATTTTGGTGTCCACAGTGACAGTCCTCTCAGAAGCCAGGCCATTCCCACTCACTCAATAATGGTGACCATCAACCACAGGCCACCAGGCCCAGCTGACAGCTACAGCAGCAGGTGAGGCTGTGGGCTCGTCAGCCTGACTCCCCAGCACAGCCCAGAGACCTGCTTGCCAGAAGCTGTGGAGTCCCTAGGGTAGGTGGGGGTCCTGCTGCTCTGTGGCAGTGGCAGAGGAGGGGCAGTGGGAAGACCCTGTGGACTGGGAGGGCACCAGGCTCCTCTGCTCAGGACTGGGTCTAGACAAGGCCACGCGTGATACGGTGTGAGTCCTGGGCTGTGGGCAAGGGATGTGGCCCTGCTGCTGACCTGTGTGGGGGCAAGTAGCTAACTGTCCCTTGATTGCCATTTGCTGGCAAGCATAGCAGCAAGAGTCCCTAGGAGCCCTGGGTCAGGGAGGCATTTGCTGTGTCTGCTGAGGTGTGGTGGACCCAGGTGGCCTGCTGCTGGTAGACCACATGGCTGCACATTCCCCTGGGCTCTTCCCTGCTTATGTGAACAACCTGGATCCTCCTGTGTCTTTACGGTAAGTTAAGAATTTCTAGTTGCTCTGACCCCAAACCGCAGCCTTGCACCCTTGCTGCTAGGCAGTATCTGTCTTGAGAGGGGCCTCTCCTATAGGCCTACATCTCCTAAACCAGCCCCATGTTACTTGTTACCCCCCAAACCTTAACTCCAGACAAGATTCTAAGCAACTTCCCTAAGAGATCTCCAAACCCTGGTGTGATTTTCTTATAGATCTTGAGCCAGTCTATATTTGGTCCTAACAACAATAAGAAAATTCTAAAACCTGGAACAGGAAGTTCTCAGTAGGAAGACAGAGGTGGCCACCGCAGGCAGGAGTGCCCCTTCTAGTGGGAACTGGGGAGAGCAAGCCTGAGGGCCCTTTACACAAGCCCATCTACCTAGCTTGGCTAGGCTCCAGGTAATGCCTGCAATCCCTGCTTGCTGGCAATGGCAGACAGGTAGATCCTCGCCCATCTGCAAGCCCAGATGAGATGCAGACATCTCCTAGTTTGTGCTTCCTTCAACCAGGGCCACAGACTGCCCAGGGGCAGTTGGGACCCTTGCAGCTGCCAGGCACTGAGAAGTGCAAGAGTTAAAAAAAAATTTACATTGGACATTTGGGGACAATTGGTTATTACCACCCTCTGGCCATCAGCTAACAAGTCACTTCCATTGTTTTTTTGCCAATGCCAGAATAAAAAGCAATATTTCAGACTGGAAATTTCCTAGCACTTTACACAGTGGAATGAAAGATATGAAAAAAACAAAACAAAACAAAAAAACCTTTAAAGTCCCTATGCCACAGTAGCACGCTCCAGAGTGGTAAGAGCATCCTTCCTGGGCGGTTCTGGAGCCTGTGCCCTCACCCTGGTCCATGGGCACACAGGCTTAGAAGAGGAGGGCTCCCATGCTGCCCACCTCACTCTGCTCCTTGACGAAGATCTCGAAGTACTGGTAGATGATGGTGACTGCCAGCAGGATCCCAGTTCCAGATCCTATAGCACCCAGGAAGTCAGCCAGGACAGAGAGGGCCCCAATGCAAAGCCCGCCAAAGGCCGCAGCTGTGGGGATATACCTGGAGACAGAGACAATTGTGTTGCCTGCTGAGCCAGAAAGCCTGATAGGCCAATTAAGATAACCACACAGGACTAAGGGAACATGACCAGCACAAATACAAATGTGGATGATGCCGCACTAGATTTTAAACAGCCTGAAACCAAGACATAAGACACTTCATCTTGGTTCTTCTGCTACTCAAAGGTTAAAACAATCTGCAGATGTGCCAAGATAGGGGAGTCTAAAATGTCAGAAGCTGCTGTGCTTTTTCTCTCAGACGGTCTAAGTCAGGGGCCTTAAGAGTTATGGACTGAAGTGAAAAGCCCTGCTGTCCCTGGCTCAGAAATTGACAGGAAACTTGCAATTCTGGCGTTCCCTTTGGTGGCTGAGGTCAGCAAGCTTCAAAGGAGCACTTGCTACCCAGCATCTGGTTGCTCTGAGTGACTGTAGCAAAGCCAACCATAGTGAGAGACTGAGCGGAAAGCCTCAGGAACTTCTGGCCTACCAACAGACAGCTTCAGAATGGTGGATGGAGAGGGAGATGTATGCAGGGTGGCCCGCTGCTCCTGGAGCCCTAGTCTCTCATTTCCTTCCTCTCTCTGCAAGGTGACTGCTACATTCCTCCATCACCTGTGGCTGAGCCTGGCAGCCGCTGGCCTCTGGTTTGATCTCATTTCTGCACACTCAACACCTCTCCCAGGCCAGCTCTTGCTGGTACCTTGGCTTCATCTGTGCCAGGACCCATGCAGCCTAGGCCAGCACTGCTCGGCTATCACTGTCTCATATAATTTCAGCACCCTGGCTATGTGTGTCCGTCTCCTCTCCTGTGCCTTCTTCTCCGGACAGGGGTATCTCTAGTGTTCAGGCTTAGTGATCACACTTACCGGTTGAGCTCATGTACCATGGAAGTCTCCCTGTGGCCCCTCATTACCATCTGCTGCTCCTTCAGCTGCTTTGCAACCTGCATGACCCAAGCAGAAGGACATGAGCCAGAGGCTGCAGGGTGAGGGGGTGCTTCACAGTGGAACTTAACAATTACAGATTTTTTATTTTATTTGTTTCTTTGAGACAGGATTTGTCTCTGTAGCTCTGGCTGTCCTGGACTTAACTCTGTAGACCACGCTGGCCTTGACCTCATAGAGATCTGCCTGTCTCTGTCAGTGAGTACTGGGATTAAATGTATGCACCACCAATGTGCAGCCATGTTTTTCCTCCCACAGCCCGGACAGTCTTCATGGAGGACATGTTTAACTTGTAGCAATGCACTCACTCACACAACAGTGTATCTTTCCAACAGCCCTACCAAAGCAGATGGTCCCTCTGCAGGCTGGACCACTTACATCACAAACTATTACGTACAAAGTGTTAACAGGTGGAGCTACCTGGATGTAAGCAGCTACTCCAGCTCTCTAGCAGGAATGTGGACTTAGACTTACATCTTTGGCAGAAGAACCCGAAACTTCGATCCATGTTTTGGAAAAGAACGCACAGGAGCCCAGCATGAATACAATGTACACGACCGCATGGACAGGGTCCTCCAGCACTGAACCGAATGATTCTGGAGGAGACAGGTAGTAACACAGGCCACCAACTGGATAAGCACGGGCAGGGCCTCCAGATGACGTGTCCTAGGAGTAAGACATGAAAGTCTTTTGGATGCTGCTTTAGCACACCACAGCATGAAGCCTTATGGTGCCGTATGACACCCTCAGCAGTCTCACTGAACTACATTAGTGAGACAATTCAAAAAGACCTTTGAGTGGAATATTTGGTCCTAAGCTAAGAAACCCTGCCACAAACCACAACTAGCTGAGTCAGTACAATCCTACCTTACCCAATGACACTCACCGACCAGGTGCCTAGTAGGCTAACCAGCAGGTTGCCACTGAAGCGTGCTGACAGCATCTGGGAGATGACATACAGGTTGGACACCAGAGCGGACTGCAGGATGATGGGAATGTTCGAGGTGTAGAAGAGCTTGATGGGATAGGTGTTATACTGGCCTCGGTAACGCGCTGACTTGATTGGAAGGTCCACTCGGAAGCCCTACAGGGCAAACACAATATGTCCCTTCATTTTCCTATTCTGCATCCTGTCCTCAGTGTGGCTGGAATAGTCAGGCTGGCCACAGGAGAGGTGGTGACGGCTGTCAGTTCTGCCAATGGACTCCCAGTTGTGATGGTATCTGAGGGCACAAGCCCTTTCCTTTCCTATATGGAAAGGCCTGAACGGGCACCTTCTATTAGTGGTTCTCAGGCACTCATCATCCATAAACACCCTAAGCGTTCCTACCCAGCCCTCTGAAACCCTGGACACCAGAGCTTCTTTCTTCTTTACTATTACAAACCCAATGCCTAGGACAGAAGACTCAAACTTCTGATTCAACTGCAGGCATTGCCTTGTCCCTAAGACTGACTTGTTTGTTACTAAGCAGGCAGTGCCTGAGATGCAGCAGGAGTCATTACTGAGTTACCTGGCCTCAGGAAAAGTATTTCTAGTCACAAACACACATCTTTCCAGTGCTGCCCCTCCTTTTGATTTTATTTAAATGTGTTTGTGTGTGTGTGTGCGCGTATGGGGACTCGTGCATGCCATAGTGTGTAAGTGGAGATCAAAGGACAGCATACAGAAGTTACTTCTTTCCACATGGGTCCTGGGAAATGAATTCAGGTCACTAGGTTCGGCAACAATCACCTGTACTACTGAGCCATCTGACCAGCCTTGTTTGCTTTAAAGAAAGATCTTGCCACATACACCAGGCTGTCCCTGAACTCTAGGTCTTATGTCCTACCCACTTAAATGAGCCACCACACCTGGATAACTGCTGTAATTTCTTTCAGTTAATATCAAAATTCTGCAAAGCATGCTGGGCATGGCAGCATAAGCCTTTAATCTCAACTTCCGGGAGGCAAAGGAAGGTGAATCTATGTGAGTTTAGGATAATCTAGTCTACATTAGTAAGTTTCAGGCCAACCAGTATTGGATAGACCCTATCTCGAACCAACCAACCAACCAACCAACCAACCAACCAACCAACCAACCAACCACCAACCAACCCTCAAATACAAAAATCCTCCTAAGTATGGGGGTCAGTAAAATTAAAAGAAGTGAGTTAGCAGTTCGGTGTCCTACTCAGACAAGTTAGAGAACAACTGTCATAAAGCCGAGAGCTGTGAAGCAGGAGGACAGTGTGGATGCTGAGTTTGACTGCTGTACAAAGCAGACCTCCTCTCAGCTCCCTTTGGACACACCTGGAAATAGATGACAACAGCAAAGACGAAGATGGTGGCAATCAGGTTCATGAGGTTAGGGAGATTCTGGCGGTAGAATGCCTCTCGGAGGGCTCGGACCTTGTCTGTGCGGGTAGCCAGCAGGTGGAAGAGTGCAATGATGGCACCTTCAAATTCCATCCCTATGAGCAGAGCAAGATGCAGGTGTAGAGGATGAAGAGTGCTCACTCTGTCTCTTAGCTTTTTAATGACCCAAACTGAGAGGAAATGTGAAAGAGTTCCGAGAAGCAAACTGAAGCACTGGGCTGTTCTCTTCTGAAATAAGCTGGCTGGTCTCTTTCTTAAGTCACCAGACGGGGAAGGGCAACCATCAATTTAAACACACCTTTAAACACACCTGTGACACATTTTGCCTGGAAAAGGCCAAGTCCTGCTTTGGAATCTGGACAGTATGAGCATTCATGCCCAAATAAATCCCGAAGAGGGCTGCACCCAGTGGAAGATTGGGGAAAGCTTGGGTCCTCAGGTCCAAACACCAAACACTAATCCTACAAGGAGGCCTGAGACCACAGTCTCCACCCTTCCACAGGTCATGCCCCAAATATTTACAGGGCAAGAGGAGGCTAGAGCAAGCCCTCTTACCTTTTAGCTGTGGCCTATCTCCTATTCAGTACTCAGGGATATGGGAGCTGCAGCCAGGACAAGCCTCTTTTCTAATAGAGGAGGCCCATGCAGACCAGGGGGAGAGAAGAATTGCTCGTGATTACCCCCAGTGGCCTTTCTAAGCTCCCCACCAAGTGCTCTGCTTTTGTCCTGTTCCAGCCTCGTGAAGACAACCTCAGCTCAGGGCTGCAGCGCTGCTGGCTACTTCCCTCATATCATACAAGACTCTGCTCAACTGAGATGCCTGGATCAACGCTGTAATACCATTCCCTGTGGCCCTTTCCTCCTTATTTTTCTCACGGTGACCCAGCATCCCCAGGATACTGTGTGCCAGCAATGCCAGTGTTTGTCACATCTGCCAAATCTTTGGAAACAAGCCCATCTCCATATGCTTAGCAGCGCCTCGGCAGCACACCATGCATGCTGTGCACACTTTCCCAGGGAGGCAGCAGTGGTGAACCAGCCAAGCTGCAGCAGCCTTTCTGGCTACAAGTGACCTGTGTCCTCTGTACACTTCTGGTCCTTGTACCTTACTGATGTTCTCATCCTTGGTTGCCTGGTGCGGCTCATCACAAACTGGCAGCAAGGGACTCAAATCACCCTTTCAGACTAAATTTCCTTCAGGCCTGGCCATGGAGACACCCTTAGTGACTCCTTAGTTTTCCACCTCAGCCCTAATAAGCAATCTTGCTTCCACATCTTCCCTAATAAGCAATCGTGCTTCACATCTTGTCTGCTCAAGGTAGCCACAGCATTTCCCCAGCAGTGTGCTCTGTAGTCTGAGTACACCAGTCCTCACCCTCTGTCCAACTCCAGAATGCAACAGCATTCTCCGCTGGCCCCCGAGCCTGGGCCATGCTACCCTGCCCCTTCTCTGCTATCATCGCCAATGCCGGCATCCCTTACCATGTCCTCTCTAAGCAGTGACCCCCAACTGCACCTTCACTCATGCATCTGCACTCCTAAGGCTGACAAGCCCTGCCTTTCACTGCGCCAGTCTCTCCAATATGCCTTTGATCTTCCTAGAGGACAGCTTCTGCTCATTAGATATATGGGATTGTATGGCTTCTGGAGGCACAAACTGTCTCTGCATTCAATGTTATGAAAATGTGCAAAAATATTTTTCACGAGATTCTTCTAAATAAATAACACATTTAGTGACAAAAGTAAATCCCTAGTAAATCTTATTCTAAGACTTCCTTTGTGTTTACACATTTTTATTAGAAACACTGTCATTCCCAAGCACAATTAATGGTTCTACCATAGTATACTAATGTATGAGCCGTATCTACTATATGCCAGGCTTCACGTGGTCACCTTTCCTTTTTCGGTGGTGCCAGGTATTCAACCTTGCACAAAGCTGTATCCCTCAGCTTAGTTTCCTGAGAGCACGGTCTCACCACACAGTGCAAGTTGACCTCAAATGCAACATCCTTCTGCCTCAGTGTCTAGCGAGCTGGATAGATCTGTATCATGACCTCTCAGTACATGAGCCAGGGCAGTAGCAGGGAATGTGTTCGCACCACCTGCAGACCATTAACAGATCTGGGTGCAGGGGCAAGCACGAGCAAACGCACTGGTGTGGTAGTTCCAGTTTTTTGTTTTTAAATGATCTAGAGTAAGTTGCCAAAATAAAGGTGAGAATGTGCACAATTTCAATGTCAACAAAGTGAGCATGAATTGATGTCTACCCAAGACAAAGGTTGAAACAGAAGGTGCTTACTCCTGTAATACAGTTTATACTGTGCTCAGCAGTGGGGCCAGACTCCACTCATATCTGCCATGCCAACCATGATGAGGCATATGAAAATCTAGGCTGTGTGTTGCCATGAGCATAAACCTACCTGTATTTAGAAATACTGTGGATGCACAGAAAACCTGGAGCTTGTGTAGACCACAGACAGAGCCTCTGCCAAACTCTGGCATGAGCTCCCAGGGTCCTTACCTCGGCCAGTGTTGACAGTGGTGGGGCTGAATGCCTTCCAAACAATAGTCTCACAGATATTGGTAGCAATGAAGAGAGAGATGCCAGAGCCCAAGCCGTACCCTTTCTGCAGGAGTTCATCCAAAAGTAGGACAATTAAGCCAGCAACAAAGAGCTGTGAAAGAAAAAAAGTAAAGAAATTTAAATAGATCATGTTACTGCTCCCAATGGGCATGGCTCTCTTCCCCAATAATTGGGTTTTTGTGTATAAAAACAGAAATCTTGAGTATAAAAACAGTGAGTTTAAGTCTCTGGCCTTCCACTAGTGGATTAACAAGGGCAAACCCACAACCTCCAGCTTCTCTAAGGCACAGGTGAGATTTGGTATTTTTGGTATGGGTCGGGGGCACAGCATAACAATTACCTGAATGGTGATCAGCAGGCAGATTCCAGCACCCATCTCTGAAGGGTCCCCGTACATGCCCGTCATCACATACACAATGGACTGACCGATAGTAATGATCATTCCAAACACTAGAAACCAAGAGAACTGTGTTCTCAAAGCAGCACAGTACACAGCAGAGGAAGCTGCTAATGAACAGCTGAATGTCCAGCACTGAGAAGAAAAAGCACAGTGCCGACATTGCCTCTAGGGAGTTCCAGAAGGAATCTCAACAGTCACACTTTCAAAGAGAGACAGCACAGGCACCCTCAGTTAAAGCACACTTGCTCTCCAGTCTCACCTCTTGCTCAGTGATGAAGGAGAAGCTGAAGCATGACAAATATGATCTTAGGAAAAGCATGGAATCCCAAGCAAAATCAGGGATGCAATGCAGTGCTGGCACCCCTGAAGTATCCAGAGCACCGCAGGTCACAGTGATCTGGAGACCTCTAAGCCACAAGTGGGCCACGGCCGTCTCTAAGACTTGCCATTCAGATCCAAGTCCAGAGTACAGAAGACTTTCGGATAAAAGCAATCCTTCTGATCTACATTTATATTTCAAATGTCTTCAAAGGGAGCCCACAGTGCCACTGATGTGGCTACTGGTCCCATTTCCTGACAGAGCTCCTTCTGTAGACTGTTTCTCAGATCTCATTCATTTCATTTCTAGGCACAGTAGAACTGACAATTCTATTGGTTTCCTAGTATTAGTTGGTTCTAAATAAGAGTGGGGATTTAAATTTCAGTTTAAAATTTCAAGTGTCCACTGACTACGGTCTCTACTTGAAAATTTAAAAAATAGTTCAGGGGCTGCCAAGATGTCTACACTGGTAAGATACTTGCCATGCAAGCCTAATGGCTTGAGGTCCATCCTCAGTATCCACACAGAGGAGAAAGAAAACAGACTCTACAAAGTCTCCTCTGACTTCTCCACACAGACCTGTTTCACACGCATGCAGTGTCACACACATGCACACAAACACAATAAAAAAAAATAAACAAAATAAAAACCAACCAAGCAAGCAAACAGGGCCAGCAAGATGGATCAGCAGATAAGACACTTGCTGCCAAGATGGACAGTTTGAGTAGATGCCTGGAATCCACATGATGGAAGGATAGAATCAAACCTGCAAGTTGTTTTCTGACATAGATACACACACATACACACACACGCACGCAGATGAATTAAAAAAAAGGTAAAACATAAAATTGTTCAGTAACCCTGATTGACTATCAGCAATCAAACAAACCCAGGGATTTGGGCGAGCTACAAGTGCTCTACCACTGAGCTATACACCCAGCCCGATACTCCTGAATTCTTAAGGCAGAAAAAGGTTTGAAAACTTTTCCTGAATAAAATAGGCTATTACAGTTCAAAGGTAGGACACTGATGCTAGTGGCTAGCCACGGTTACCAGAAACACTTATCAATTGCTGAATGGAAAACATCATTAACAACCCCTTTTTCCCCCTTTACAGATGGAAAACTGAGCCTTCAGAATGGCCACCTCACTTCCTTGACTTCATAAGCTGGTAAGGAGTACGGGACATAGAAGAGTGTCGTCTCCTCCCTTAACCCCCTTCACACATATAAGAAAACACCCGGCATAACTGAACGGCTGCACAACGATCCCTCAGCTTTGTTTACTGAGGCTCTGGTGTGAGTGCAAACTGCACAGTAAAGAAATGAGCTACCAGCCCTGCTCCTTCCATGTGCAGATCATGGAGTGCACGAGGAGGGGCAGCCAAGGGGGTCAGAGCACAGAGCAAAACTGCTTTAATCCCAGGAGCTTTACAGCAAATTCCCCTTCTCAACTGTGGACATCAGAACATTATGTACGATGTTTCTTACACTTCTGGGCTCCATTGAAGAGAGCTCGGTCTTTTGGGGTGTCCCCAACTTCAATTATCTTGGCACCAGCTAAGAGCTGCATGATAAGGCCAGAGGTAACAATAGGAGAGATGCCCAGCTCCATCAAGGTACCTAGAGCAAAGACACAGCCAACATTAGCTTGGAAGAACATAGTCAGATACAATGAACAGCACTAGAGGTTCAAGTCTACAGGTTCAACAGCTTTCAGTTTGTTAGCAGCATTTAACTTACAGAACCACCTCCAAAGAACAATGAGCACAGCTTAATGCATTCTATTCACCCTGCCCCGCAACATCTCATTCTGTTCAGGCAGTCACGTTACCCAGACTGCTGCATTTCAATTCAGCAACAGATTTACTCTAGCCTCACAGAGATAAGACAGGCTAGTCTCCCCATCAGTTCCTATGAAAGGACAGCATTCAAGGCATTCCCAGAGTCTGGAAAGGTGCCCACACAACTGTATCTGGCTGTGAATAAACTCCCACCTTCATTATGCTACAACCAGTCATACTTCTGATTTCTAACGTAATGTGTACTGTATTTTTTAAATGAGTTAATCCAATGCAATATCAACATATTCAAAATCCTTACTGTACCCATAGGTAAACTGTCAGGGCTTACAAAATCGGTTTTGTTTGGTTTGTTTTTTTTTTCTGGAGATGGTGACATTGTAACCTATAGGTATGAAAAGGATTCAGCTGAGAAACAAATTATACCTCCTAAAGAATGTTATCACTTCAGGTATTTCAAAAGTATTCTAGTTTTTCCCGGTTTTAGGCAATTTTCTACAATGCAGCCTTATCTTGTTATTGCAGGTTCTACATTGCATTCAGACCCAACAGGATGCTTTCATCAGCAAATGCTGCATTACTCTTCCACACCAGCGTCCTCTATTTTCTAAGCTACACACCTTCACAGACTTTCTGAGATCCCTATAAGCCAAAACCTGTAACTAAAGGAAACCAGGCTCATCTTCACTATGCAGGGAAAGGCTGTGTGAACAGAGTCCTACCTCTGTTAGAGGCCAAAATCACTCGCATCCAGTAGAAAGGGTCGGCTGAGTCTGAAGACATAATGCCAAACAGGGGAATCTGGAAACAGGCAGAGAGCAGGCATCACACACGTGATTCCAGCCCATTCAACCCCTCCAACACTAAAGCAGAGCTCACCTGGCAGCATACTAGGAAGATGAAGAGGGTGATGGCTGTCCACAACACTTTCTCCTTAAACTGAATCTGGGAGGGAATGAATGAAAGTAATGTTATTAGATAGGCAAACACAGATGAACCTAAATAAGGTATCATTCCCCATTTATCTGAGCTGCTCAAATGTGTACCAAACATACACCATAAGTAGCATATATATATACATATATCATGTGTGTTCTCTGTCCAAGACCCTTGTTGCTCTTTATCTCAGATAATCCTCCCATTGCACAGATTATTTTTATGTGAAAATGAGCAAAGTGACCAAGAAAGTTTAATTTGTTCCAAATCCTGCAGCTGAAGTGATTTTGTGTCCAAAGCTATGCTCTTAACCATTCACAGTAATAGCCGAGAATCAAGACGGATGAACACTGCAGAGAAATTGGCTCATAGAATAGAAAAGCTTTGTAGCACAGCACCTGCTTCTGTACAATACACCACTAACAATTTTCTTACTCTGGATTCAACTATTTTAGAATGTGGGACTGATCTGTAAGTGAATCAAGAATAATGCCTGTGATGACACTGGGGGAGGACACTAAGCCCAACAGCAGCCATTTATCTTCACCCCACCTAGGTGTGTAAGTGTGATGGGTTAACCTTGTCAACTTCAGAATCACCATGGAAACAAACATTTGGGTATGACTATGGAGGAGTTTCTGGACTAAGTTCATGGAAGCAGGAAGACCGACTTTAAATGTGGGTGGCACCAATCCATGAGCTAGAATGCAGAATTAAATAAAAAAGAGAAAGTGAGCTGAGCTCCAGCATCAGCTGTCCCTGTCTGCGGACCTGGGCTGCAGCGTGACCAATGTACCTTAAGTTCTTGCTGTCATGCATCTCTTGCTGTAATGAACTACCCTTGAAGAGTGAGCTCAAACACCATCCTTTCTTCCTTCCTTCCATTGTTTTTGTCAGGAATGTTGTCACAACAACCAGAGAGGTAACAAATGGAGTAAGTTAAATAGTAGACACAAATCACTTTACTATCTAGCCTGACTGGAAACCCGCTGTCCTCTCCTGGTCAAGAGACCTCTGTCACTAGGTAGTGAGAGCTCTTCAGTAGTGCCTGACCCCACTACCACACTGCCTTTAGACAGTTTTAGACAGGCTTAACAGACAGCTAAAGACTAATGATACAAAGTGAATGTAATGCCAAAAAAAAAGGCCAACAAGTGCCAACCCAGTGTATCAGTCAGATCCCAATTCCTCTGTGCATAGTCATTTGAAAAATGACAGTACCGGACCCTATGAGTAATGTGAATTCAAAGCTCAGACCCTGCAGAGGGAGCTCACAGTCCTCCTCTTTCTCTCAAGAACATTGCCTTTTCTACCTGTCACCCACCACCCAGAACTCAGCACCTAACCAGGGGGAAGCAACACTATTTCACAGGACCCAGAAAGACAAGCTTATAATGAACATGTTCACATACTATCTATTATAGTGATGGACACGGGACATAGGGCCAGCATGTCTATCACTAGCCATTTTCCCAGCCCATGTAATGAATCTGTTAGGAAAAAAAGAAGACAAATTTTAAAGACTATTTTAAACGAGAAAGCCTCCTTTCCCGGTCATTTAAGAGCAAAACATCAAAAGCTTTTCATCTAAGTCCTGGATCTGCTGCCTCTGAAATAGTCCCAACCCACCCTCATTCAGTACCATGATTCACCCTCTACTGCAAGGGCCCCCAAGCCACACTCCAGGCCTCTCCCTTACTGCCAAGGCCATTTCTTTGCCTAGTCCATCTCATTCATCGTCCCTGTGCTTTTCTTCGCCTTTACATTTAAAATCAGTAAGAACTGCACCTAACAACCTACCATCTAAGGACACTGATACTCTGTCTTCACTGTGTTAGGAAACCAGGAATTATTTGCCAGGAATCCTTCCTGTACCATCAAGGCAACTTTTAGTCTTTTTTCAAACCCCCATCAGACTTACTCCCCAAGTTATACCTTCTACATACTTCCCATTTCCCTTGTTCTGCCAGGCCAAGGTCACAGGGCTATGAAGAAAAAATGTAAAGGGTGACTTCTTGGCCCTTGAGCCAGATCCTTTGCACTGAGGTAGAGCAGGTAAAGCTTTGGACATCAACATGTCAAAGGCAGCAGGGACACAACAAGGCATTTGTACCTAAGTAACTATCTTAAGTTAAAAAAAAAAAAAAAAATTAGGCGTAGACAGTAAATGTCCGTGTGAATGCCAACTACAAATGCCATATGTGAATGTATAACATAGTCTGTAAAAACAGGGATTCAAAGCGGATTTACTGTTTTCTGTTACCCATAGTCCTGGCCTTTCCTTCACTGGGCAATCTCACATTAGAACATTTATTCGTGGGCTGAAGCTAACAGCCATGGAAATTCTAATTCTAATTAAGATTTTATCTTTCCTAGTTTTAATGCACCTGCTGTCAAGGGCAGCAGACCTCACTACAGCAGTTATCCTCACGCTGGGGCAGGGCACATCCTCCCCCTACCCCAAATACAAACAGGTTCACATCGATTAACATGACTGGCCTTTTCCCTTGAAAACTAGATACTGAAGTCACCTCCCAGACGAAACAAACGCCCCAAAATCTGCTCCTGCTGGAGGTGAAGAAGGCAGGGTAACTCAAGCTGGAGTCCTATCTGAGGTCTTGTTCAATCACTGCTCGGACGGACCCACTTTTGGACCAGGCAAATTGAAGGCTTTGTTCACCACCACCATCCACTAAGGATGCTCCAAATGAAACAAGATGGTTTCGTAAAAATTCCCACACAAGCAGGTCATCTTTCAACAGCTCCCGTGAATATCCCATCACACACAGCTACACTCCAGAAGGGCAGTTTCCATTCGGTGTGCTGAAGCCATTTTTAATTGTACTGTAAACTTCCAGCACCCAGTTTTGCATGGCTTCTTTGACTACAATCTGGGGAACTTACCTTTCTCTCTGGCTTCTGAATTTCCGGCAAGATGACACAGAATGGCTTGATGACTTCCAGAAATTTGACTTTGATGGAAGAAACAGAAAGAAAAATTGTTAGGTACACAGTAACCTACGAGCAACTGAGGGAAGCCGGCACGAGCGGAATGCGGGCGTGGGGACCCAGAGGGCTCCGTCTGGGGGTGCGAGGACAAGGGGTATCGGGGCAGGCCGCGTTCCGCAGGGAACGCGCAGCTCGGCCAGCGGGCGCCCAAACGGGGAAAGCTGCGCCGGGGCTGCCTCAGGGGACTCACTCGCCATGGCGGCGGGTGATCCAATTCCACGTCCTGCTCCGCCTGCGCTCCACTTCGAGTGAGGCGACGCCGCGAGCTCCGGAGCAGGTTTCCTGAGCCGAGAGACACGTCAGTGATAGCCCGGCGGCGAGCGGCGCGGCGAGGCGGGGCCGGGGAAGGGTCACCGACAGCTTCCGCTTCCTGCCACGCGCGCTCGCTGCGGCGCCTGCGCCAAGACCACAACTCCCGGCATGCAGCGGGAGCGGAGGGGCTATCGGGAAGATGACTGGCGGGGCACGCCGGAACTGGGCGTGTGCAGCTGTGCAGACTCGGCCGGAAGGCCGGACCGAATCAGGTAGTTTCACCATGGTTAAAGCCCTACTGAGCAGGCGATTCGGCTTTCTGTGTCGGTGGCCTTCAGTGCCAGTGATGTCGCGACCCCGTAGGCCTCGGCTGCTGCGAGACCCGCGCGACAGAAGAGCAAGCCTCCTGTCCTGAGTGTGGTGGGCTGAGGAAGCCTTGGCTCCTGCATTTGAGAACGGTGGGCAGATGCCGAGTCCGGCGGCTCGGTGTGGGCCTCGGCGCTGGGCTTTCCGAGAAGGCCCTTTGGCTGGATTGTTCTATGAAACTGGAGAGTTAAGAGAGATGAAGAAGCCGAGCCAAGCCTGTCTGCTCCAGATCTTCAGGGATAGGAATCCTGCTGGGCTGGAGCAAAGGCTGTGTGAAGGGGATGAGGCGAGGTGGGGAAACGTGAAATTTAATTTTTAGACATATCTTTGAATTCAGTGCTGTGTGTTACGTCAGAAATAGACTTCTTGCTGTGCACCTTGAGTGCTGAGGTTAGGTTTCATGCAGCCAAGCCCTGACTTCAACGGAGAATGTTTGCGGTGGCCATGTCTTGAGTAACACTCTTGACAGCTCGGCCTGTGTCATTAATAGGACATTTCAGTTTAATTTGGCATTTAGTTGCATGTTGTTACATAAATACTGGTGGGCTTAGAGAAACCACTAACAATTACTGTGTTAGCACAATGTGAGGTTCTTGTTTTGTTTTATTTTTTTTAAACAGGTCTCTCTATGTAGCCCTGACTGTCCCAGAACTCATTACTTTTGACTAGGCTGGCTTCAAACTCACGGAGATCCAACCTAATTCCACCTTCTGAGTGCTGGGACTAGCGCCACCACACCTGTCCACAATGTGAGTTTTTAAAACAGGTGTGCTCTATTTTTGCCTTTACACATTTAAAAGATTTTATTATTAAATACTAGAAACATGCCTAGAACACACAATAAAAATCTAAAGTTTTGATTAAGTATTTCTTTGAGATTTATTTTTTATTGTGTGTGTGTTGGATTAAGTGTGATTGCAGGTGCCCTTGGAGGCTGTAAGAGGGCGCCACCTCATGAGGCTGTTGAGAACTGAACTCAGGTTCTCTGGAAAAGCAACAAATGATCTTAACGACTGAGCACCTTGATATGGTATGTTAAAATACAGTAAACGTAAATTTGAATCTTGTTTATCTTCAGAACAACGAAGAAGTTAAAATAGTAATGGATTCCAGACTGCAACTTGTTTTGTTACTACAAGAAGTAAGCACAAAATAAAATTTATATTTTACAAAACATTCCGGAATAAAATGTAGCTTGATTTTTTTTTTCTTTTTCTCCTTAGCCAAGGATTTGATCATATTATGTTGGTGACAGGACAGTGGGTACAAAAATTTTGTTGAAAATGAAAGTAGACCTGAGAAAGTAACTCCCTCATTGGTAAAATGCTTATCTAATTTGTGAGGCCCTGTGTTCAGTGCTCACAAAACAAATCATAGCACTTACCAAAAAAGGTTATAGTCCTACACATGTCTGTTTCCTCAAAATACTGTTAGAACTTGTTGCTTGAGTGAAAAATTTTAATCATCAATGATAAGAAAATCGAAGAGAACCTAGTAAATTTCATACATTGACTATTTCAAGAATAAAAGCTCCCTAGAGTCTGGCCTGTTGACTTGGGCCTGTAGTCCTAGAACTCAGGGCCTGAGGGAAGAGGATGAACAGTTCAAGGACAGCCTAGGCTACAAGATACCTTTTCTCAAAGCAAAATCTCTAAACAAGAAAGAGTTCCCAGAGTGTTACCATGGTAAGGATAAGACAGGCCGAGGCCAGTAAGTTGACCCTGGGGTAAAGTGTTCTCATTCAGTACTGCAGTGTTCCCGTGGAGGCTTGATGGCCTGAATTCAGTCCCTGGAACCTACACAAAGGTGGAAGAAGAGAACCAATTCTACAAAATTGTCCTAAGACCTCCACGTGTCTACACCCAGACCCCCAACACTTCTCCCAGCGGTTTTTGTTGTTTTAAGGTGCAGTTTAATGTCACATCTTGGGAAAACAAACAAAAATGGCTCAGAGGTATTGTCAAAATTTTTAGCACCATTATAGAAATGAAAATGTTTTGACACAACAATGTAGTGTGGACCCTTTTTCTTTTTTTCTTTTCTTTTTTTTTTTTTTTTGTTTTGTTTTGTTTTGTCTTTCTTTTTATTTCTTTGAGACAGTTTTCTTTGTGTACTTTGTGTATTCTTTATTGTCCTGGATTTACTTTGTAGATCAGGCTGGCCTGAAACTCACAGTGATCTGCCTGCCTGCCTCTGCCTCCCTGAATGCTGGGATTGCAGGTGTATGCCACTGTGCCTGGCCCAATATTTCCTCTTAATTCACATAAACAAAGGATAGTTTGAAACAAGCGGAAGATCATATATAGAGGGGAAAAAAACAAAACAAAACAGGTACACTGCTTGAAAAGTGAAAGCAATTCTAAGTGAAAAACTTGGAATTCCCAATAGATGATATGAAAATGCATAATGACAAAAGTAGGAAATGGTATTGACCTTTTATTTTCCATCTCTTTATTGGAGAAATGGAAAGGAGTGTGATACTGGGATGAAATCCCAGGCTTGGAGCACACTAGACCAGTGGCCCCTGAGCCGTATGTATCTCCACCCCGGACTTCTTGTATTACTTTGTTTTTGAGATTACAATACATCAATTCTCCTTTTCTACCTCCAGACCTTCTCTTATACATCTCCTTGCTATCTTTCAAATTCATGGCTTCTATTTCATATGTGTGTGTATATATGTACACACACACACATATATACATGTATATATATATATATATATACATGTATATATACATGTATATATATGTGTGTGTATATATATATATACACACATGTATGTATATACATATATATCCCCAAATATAACCTGCTCAGTATATATATTACTTGTATGTATGTTTTTCATATGTATCTGATGTTGGATAACCACTTTGGGGGCTATTCCCTGGAGAAGACTTTTTTTTCCCTCTCCTCTTGGCATTCTTTCGGTGCCTGTTGTTCTTTGTGTAAGTTTGAGGCCTTTTGTTCTCTCCCCCATGCACTTTGTCATGTCTTTTGTCCAACTCTTGTTTAGGTGGTCACGTTAGTGAGATTTTACAGGTCCTGGACTTCTTGGGTCCTGAAATTTGGCTCCTAGCTTGTGAAGACACCGGGTTGAAAGGGAACAAAGGGGTGGCTAGGGTGCACATGTTGACACTGGTAAAGTACACAGAGTGGATGCATGTTGATAAATTTGTACATGTGTGTGCACAGGATCCTTCAGGGTGCCTGTGGGCTTTTCTGTACAGCCCCCAAGGAAGATGACTACCCCCTGCGTAACTACTGCTCTGATGTCTTGTCAGTCACTACAGAGTGCCTCTTCTGGAACTTAAAAAGTGGCAACATTCCAAAGAATCCTTTCAGCCTTATGTGTAGAATTTGTCTGTACATTTCCTCTTTTCTTTGCTCTGTAATCCACAATCGGTCATGCTGCTGTTGATGACACACTTCCGGATTAGGCCTTTATTTCTTTTTTAAGATATGTTCATTTATTTTACATTATGAAAGCTCTATCTGCATGTACACCTGAATGCCAGAAGAGGGCATCAGATCCCAGTATAGATGGTTGCTAGGACTCAAACTCAGGACCTCTGGAAGAGCACACACTGCTCTTAACTGCTGTGCCATCTCTCCAGCCTGATTAGACTGTTTGTTTGTTTAACACTACCATGAATATTTTCATACATGTCCTTGAGTAGCTATATTTTTATTTCTCTTGAGTTTTGTCTAGGAACAGAAGAACTGAATCTGGATGTAGAGTCATTATTTCAAAAGGTCATATACTCTGCTAAAATCCATAGTATTCTATTGGTAAGAGAACGTGGGGAAAATCATCAAGCCCCTGGAAGCCACACTTCAGTGTTCAGATTTGTAGCTCTCCACAATTCGGTGTTCAGACTTGTAGCTCTCCACAACAATCTAGTGTTCACATTTGTAGCTCTCCAACACAGTCCAGTGTTCAGATTTGTGGCTCTCTGCAAATTGCTGCCCCCAACCTTTCCTCCAGCTCTGTCCTCCCAGTTGCTCCACTGTCCTGCCACTGGGTTTGCTCTCCGCTTTCCTCCCAACCTCCAAGCCTTGTCTTGGAGCATGCATGTCCCACGCAGCCCTTGTAGCTCAGCACAGATGTTCCCACCTACACCTACCCTCTCTCACACCCCTAAGTTGGGACCAGTTTCCTTACACCATCTGCTTCTGTAGCTGATGTAACCCGAGCAAACTCATGGAGCACATTTACTTTGTTAAAATTACCTCATGGTGGGCTGGAGAGATGTTTCAGTGCTCTTATAGAGAACCCCAATTAGGTTCCTGGAACCCACATCAGGCAGCTCACAACTGCCTGTAGTTCCAGCTCTAGGAGATCTCATGTCCTCTTCTAGCCTATGTGGGCAAGTGCACAGGCACATAGTTAAAAGCTAAAAACCAGATGTGGTGGCATTAGTCCCAGCACTCAGGAGGCAGAGGCAGGCAGATCTTAGTTTCAGGCCAGCCTAACCAGAGCTCCACAGTGAGACCCTGTCTCAAACAACAACAAACCACATGTGAACTTGTCAGTCGAATCTCAAGATGGCAGTGCTATCTCCAGGCCTTCATTTCCCGTCAGCAGCCTCATCACTTCCTCTGCCCACGGAGCATGTGCCTGGGCAAATTGCATCTGTGGATAAATGTAACAGTCTTCTCTCTTCTCACTGGCTCTCTGGGCTGATAGTGGACAGTTAGCTCCACTGCAGTCCACCCA